AACGCCGAAGTTGAAAGTTGGACGAAAAGGCGCAAAATCGGGTCAAAGGATGGAGGCAGTAGCATATCACGGTGGAAGCAGTGAGTTCACGGCCAGGGAGACCGTGAACTTGGGCCGCAAACCGTGAACCGCCAGGCGTCCAGAGCAATTTTGGTTCTCACTAGACTCAAGCCAGTTCACGGTCGTAAGACCATGAACCCAAGCTAGAGACCGTGAACTGAGTTAGTGATGATGTGGCCTGTGTGTTTTGGCCCGAGATCACTGTCCCCCCCTTGAGTTCACGGTCGTGAACTGGGACCGTGATTTGAGCCCGACTTGGGTATAAAAGGGGCTTGAGATGAGGGAAGAAAAGAAGAGGAGACATTGAGTGAGAAAACCTTCTACTTTAACATTCTAGAGAGAGAAAGTGACGAACAAGAAGAGAGAAGAAGCTAGGTTTTCACTCCAAGGCAAGAATTTGGGAAAATCTTCCCCAAAGGAAGATTTTTTCTACACAAGGAAGGATTCAAGCATCTCCATGATGGTTTTTATTCTTTCTCCTTGTGTTTTCCCTCTCCTAGCATGGAGTAGTTTCCCTTTTCACTTGGGTGTTTGTGAACCCTAACTTCTACCATGTGATTGATTGTATGGAATGATTATCTATGTGTGGGTGTATTTTAATACGAATTTGGAGGTATTTTCATGGAAGATTGTGTTGTGTTGCCTATCAAGCTATTTTTCATTCTAACCTAGGTAGAGAGAAGACCCCATTTTGTTAAAGAGGCTTGTAAAGATGGGTTTTTTTTAGGCAAATCATGTTTCCTATCTAGGTTAATGTATGGCATCCCTCCTTGTTTGTGTTGGAACCTAGGTTGATTGTGTTTTGGCCGTAAACCACCTAGTAAGGGGATGTTCCTATCATATATTTATAAGTTGTATGATATGCCCAAAGAGTATTTGTGAGCTTTTAGACTAGTTTTTACAGGAACTATCCACGGTCTTTTGGAGAATTTACTTTAGCTTTCTATTAGTGAGCTCTACTTGCCCACTTATCTAGGGGTAATATGTTGTTGAAAAGCGACGGTGCACCCCAAAATGTTCGAAGATTTTATCAAATGGGCTTTAGAAATGAGTGCTTTAGTCACTTATTATAGCTCGAGGGGCTCCGAACCGTGAGAAGAGTTAGTGAAAAAACTTTCCCATAGGTCTCACATTGTTTTTAGCGAGCGCTTTTGATTCTGCCCACTTGGAGACATTATCAACTACCACCAAGATATATTTGTTGCTAAATAATGAGGGGAAATGACCCATAAAACCAATGCCCCAAACATAAAAAATTTACACTAGTAAGATCTTTGATTGTGGGGCAGGGAAGGTTAGAGATGGCCTTTATTTTTGCTCGATCTACCTCAAAGCCCTCCCTTGATATCTTATGGCCCAAGATAATGCCTTTGGTGACCATAAAATGGCTTTTCTACCAACTCAGTGCCAGATGCGTCTCTTCAAAGTGAATCAAAACCATCTCTAAATTTGCTATATAGTGGGAGAAAGAGTCTCCATAAACCAAGAAGCCGTCCATGAAGACCTCCATGACATTCTCCAAAAGACCGTTGAAGATTGTGGTCATGCAATGCTTGCAAGTAGTCTTGGTGTTGCATTGATCGAATGGAATCATGCGATAGGCAAAGGTGTCATAAGGGATGTTATATTTTTTTCCGATCAAGTGGATCGATTAGGATCTAGAAGTATTCCAACATCCCATCAAAGAAGAAGTAGTAGTATTGCTGTCCGGCTAGCTGTTCCAACATTTGGTCAATGAATGGATGGGGAAAGTGATTCTTTTGAGTGACATCATTAAGCTTTCTGTAGTCAATACAAACAAGTCATCTTGTGACATACGTATTGGGATCAAGTCCCCGTTATCATGTGGAGCCATTGTTATGTCGCCCTTCTTAGAAACCAGCTGGGCTAGACTTGCCCATGGGTTATCAGAGATAGGAAATATTATCCTGCCACGAGAAGTTTAAGAATCTCCTTCTTAACAACCTCTTTTTGGCGAGGGTTTAAACGCCTCAAAGGTTGTACCACCGTTTTGTGGTTATCTTCTATTAAAATTTATGTGTGCAGAAGGAGGGATCGATCCCTTGGATGTCAGTAATTTTTCAGGCAATAGCCTTCTTGAGCCTGCATTATTGAACTATCAGGCATTCTTTCTGCTCGGCTGTAAGAGAAGCATTTATGATTACCGGTAGCTTTTCAACCTATGCAAGGTAAGCGTACTCTAAGTGTTCCCGTAATGGTTTTAATTATAGGTTGGGAGGTTCTGCATAGGAGGTTGCAAGGGTCGGAACTAACGGAACTTGCTTGCATTCTTCTTCACCTGATTCCAACGCCCCTTCTCCCTCAAGACTGTTTCGGTGCAATGCTTTCTCGATCCTGTCTTGTGCATTAAGTTCTCTTGAAATTAGACATACCTTTAGGGGGTCGTCCGAGACACATGTAGTTACGGACGATAGGGTTTCCGTGGTCTTTTCAGGGGTCATGCCATCATCTTGGACATGGTCCCGTTCCATTCCTTCCTCCATATTAAATATGACATGTGTCGAGCCAACACAAAAGGTAAGTTTCCCACCGTGCATGACGACCATGGTTTGGGCTATTGCTAAGAAGGACCGTCCTCGGATTATGGTGGCGTCCGAATTACTTGTATCCATGACTACGAAGTCGACAGGGAAGGTAAACGATCCTACATCGACCATAACGTCCTCGACCATACTCGAGGTTGGCGGGATGACTTATCCGCCAACCTCACCATCATATGAATTGGTACTAGGCTACCTAGTTGCAGTTTTTTGAAGAGCTCGCATAACATCACGTTGATGTTGGCATCATAATCCACAAGGCTTTGAGGGACTTTGGATTCATTGGTAGTTCATGGTAGGGTTAAGCTCCATGTATACCTAAGTTTTTCCGAGCTTCGCAACTGGTTAAGCACCGCAGAACATTCCTCTCCCAATTGCACTGATGCTATATCGCTCAACCTTTTCTTTTTATAAATAATTTTCTTCGTAAACTCTGAGTACTGAGGCATCTTAGCTATAACTTCTAAGAAGGGCATGCCTATATTAATATTTCTTCACATCCCTAAAAACTTATGAAAATCGTAGTCTTGACCGCCCTTTCTTTTTCTAAACCTGGCAGGGTAAGGCGCCCTTGTAGGTGGAGGTGTGCAAGTAGGATCACTCTACTCTTCCCTTCCCCATTTCTCTTCCTCGTGTACGAGATGACTAACATCAATAGGTGGTTCTGTTCGGGATTTAGTTTGGACGGAATGTGTCAGGAGATACTTTCTACTTGCAAACTCTTTGAGAATTTTTTTTATTTACGTCAGAGAAGAACAGAAGATGTGACAGGCAGGTGGGGAATTAAAGGGAGAAAATGTCATTTGTGGCGCGGATGCCTTAATTGGATTTGTCCTAGTCCCAATTAACTCTTTTTTTGCATAGCAAACTCAATCGGGACGTGCACGCCCCAATTACTATATTCGGAGTTTGGAACATAATTTTGAAATAAATTTTTGAACTACTGTATTTTGGATAAGTGTTTTTTAAAAATGCAATATTTTTGTAAGAAACCCAACTTTGTAACAATATTTTTTCCATTGTTATAAAAATCGAAACAGATCAATGGTTGGGCCAGTAAAACCATCAAACCAGTTATGATAACAGTCCAGTTCATTGTTTGGACGGTTATTAATGGATCAAATAATTTTTCACGGTTCAACATAAAATTTGATGAACCACCACGGTTTAACTGGTCCACTAGTTCACTATTTTAACAAAAAATAATTAAAAAAATACTTTAACATACACTAAGACCATCAAACCATAAATATTAACTGGGTTATATATATAATATGCCCCTCTACTATGACGTTTTATCAAACATGCCCTTCTACTATTTTTTACATCAAACATGCCCTGTGCTTTGTAAAAATGAACAAACATGCTCTTTTGTTAAAATTTTCATCTAAAAACCGTTAACCAATGCCGAACTTTAGTTTGGGCGACACAAATGACTAAAATATCCCTAATAAATTCACTTTAGAATTTCTTTTGGTTCTTTTGTATAATCAAATCATTCAAATAATTTCATTTTGAAAAGACCCAGGGAAATAGAACAGGGGACAAAACTGACATTTCCTTCCCATTTGTCGATGTCGGGTTGTCTAAATCTCAATTCAACCATGATTGACGATTTTTTCAATCGAAATTTTAACAGAAGGGCATGTTTGATAATTTTTTCAAAGTACAGGGGCATATTTGATTAAAAATAGTAGAGGGGCATGTTTGATAAAACGTCATAGTAGAGGGGCATATTATACCTATAACTCATATTAATTTTATATATGCTTCTTCTTCTCATTCGAACCTTGTTGTCGACTTTACGTTATCCACTACCGACTGACATCTTAATTTTTAATTTGAATTAAAAATATAATTTTCTTTTGTGAGATGATTTGAATGATTTATTAGATATTTTGGTGATGATATGATTTTGAAATTGTTTATGGTCAATCATAACTTCATTTTTAAATTAGTGTAATATACAAGCCTTATATGTTATATATCATGAACGGTTCTATCAACGATTCACCAAAAATTTTGTAACTGTTAACCACTAAACGCTAAATCACTAAATTTTTTTCGGTCTGGTCTTTCATCCGGTTCCGAAAACAGGAATTTTTTTGTTTAGGCAAAACCAAAATGAATAATCTCTCATCTATTGGAAAAGAAAAATATACACAAAGTTCATAAATAAAATATAAACTAAAAATCAGAAAGTTGCGACGTTTCCCTCCACGTAAGCACCGCGTCCCCGTCACATTGGCGCGTTAACTTTCTGTCGCTATCGCCGTCAACGTAGCCAACAAAAAAAGATCCCGTCAAGATGGCAATTTATCGTAAATAAACCCCAAACCCAGCCTTCTTTGGCGAACCGGACACCAGTACAATATACCACTTCGTTAATAAGTTTCTTCTTCCAAGTTCCAAGTTAGTAACTACTCCACTTTTTCGTCTCTGGCATCTACAGTACTTGACCTCCCGGCACCAAACAGAACAGAGACGAGAAACCGAGGGAAAGTGAGGGAAAACGCGAGAAAATTAGAAAAGCGAAAAAAAAAAAAGTCCAGGAAACAAGAAGGAGAAGAAAAAGAAGAACGAAGATAAAATTCAGCAAAGCCTTAAGCAAGAATTTTCTATTGGAGGGAAACAATCGCCCCGGGGGGAATGAAGCACATTTTCAAGAAGCTTCACATAGGGAACACCCACGAGTCAGCGAATCGATCGAACGAAACCCCCGATTCTCCTTCACCTTCGCAATCGTGCGCGTCCGATCACCGGGCGGCTTCATCGTCAGCTTCTTCGGCGGCAGCCGCTCCAGGTAGCCCTCCGCTTTCCACTCCTCCGGCGTCGGCACCTGCTTCTACTGATGCGGCGGCGGCGGCGGCGTTACCGATGACTGAGCCGTCGCCTGTTACGAATACGAACGGCGTTGGCAGCAATATTGGCGCGGACTACTTCACTTCCGAGGAGGAGTTTCAGATGCAGCTGGCACTAGCGATTAGCGTTTCTTCCAATTCGGAGGCTGGGAGGGATGATCGGGAGAAGGATCAGATCCGAGCGGCTACTCTACTGAGCTTGGGAGGGAATCGTCATCATTGCATGGACGGAACGGGAGAGAAAGGAGAAGCTGCGGCGGAGTCCTTGTCGAGACAGTTTTGGGTGAGTTTTATTTTGAGAACTCTAGGGATTGAACTGGTTTCTTTACTGTTTCAAAGTTAATGCTCTTGAATTGGGGAATGTTTACCTGCTTACCAGCTAGTCAATGGCTAGTAATTTTGTGACTGAACTGTGTAAGTATGCTTAGTTTCACTGTGAACTTAAGGGTTAAGAATAGTAAATTGGAGCTAGAATGGCAATGGGTTGTCGATATGAGTTTGAATTAGGGTTGGAAACACGTAACCAGTAGTTCCCGTTATCAGGTGTTGGATAATTTGTGGCTGGGTGAGTTACTGCCAAAAGTGGAAATCTGGTCATTTAATCTAATCCATTTACTGTTCTATGGGTTCCTAATAGCTGAAGGCTGGGTGGGAATTCGTCACAATTGTTCAGTTGCTTCTGACATGATGATTTTGGCCGGCAACTGTTTTATTTTAAGCGTTTATTACTTCATACAGATGCCCATATCAACCTGTTATCTTATTGCTGTTTCTTCTTCATGGCATTGCTAATCAGGAATATAGTGTGCTGGATTACCAAGAGAAGGTTGTAGATGGGTTTTATGATGTCTTCTCCACAAGTTCAGAAAATCAAGGGAAGATGCCTTCTCTTGTAGACTTGGAAACAAATTCCGTCTCTTCTGGCTTTGAAGCAGTAGTAGTGAATCGAGCGATTGATCATAACTTGGAAGAGGTGGCACAGGTTGCTCAATGTATTTCATTAGATTGCCCTGCTACTGACATTAGCATTTTGGTCCAGCGACTGGCTGAACTCGTAACAGCGCACATGGGTGGCCCTGTAAAGGATGCTAACATAATGTTGACAAAGTGGATGGAGAGAAGCATCGAGTTGAGGACAGTTCTTCATACAAGTGTGCTGCCCATTGGTTCGATAAATATTGGCCTATCTCGCCATCGTGCATTGCTTTTCAAGGTCAGTTTTACTTTTTGTTGATGAGTAATGAAATATTGATGCTTCTTGCTTTTACCACAGACCTTAGGTTGGCTGTCAGCATGCCTACCATTGCCATGTAGTTTTACATTTCAATGCTGTGTTACTTGGTAGGTATTGGCTGACACTATAAATCTACCGTGTCGATTGGTGAAAGGAAGTCATTACACTGGAGTTGAGGATGATGCTGTGAACATTATCAAGTTGGAGGATGAAAGGTTATGGATTGTTCCTTCGCTTGAAATTTGTTTGCCATTGATACTCATTTAATTTTATTTAAGGTTTCCATTTACATTGGGAACAGTTGGTGATATCTCTTTTATCATAATATGTTTGGGACAAGATATATTTATATAAAATGGGCTTCATATGTGATACCCATAGTTCGTTAAAGGAATGACAGTGGAGCTTGCCTAACACTTACGCTCTAGCTTGGGCTCCTGCATAATGAACATTGTTGTCTGGCACGATGAAGTTCATCTTTCCAGAGAAGACTGAATATAGTGAGTCACAGGGCCTGTCATGGAAGTATCAGTTGATTATTGGTATAATTCAATAGATCCAGCAGTGCATTCGACAATAAGAACTTTGGATCATTCATTTGGCTGAAACGTCTTTGATCTCTTACATTGTAATGTCTAAGCACATACATGAATCCTTGTATTTTGACTCTCTGTGTTTATGTCCTAAGTTTTCTGTGTACATTTCTTTCTATGATTTTATGAGTCTGTACAGCATAAGTGTAGTTGATCAGCCCATGTTCGCACATCTAACAGTCTACTTTGTCATCAGGGAGTTTTTGGTTGACCTAATGGCAGCTCCAGGGACATTGATTCCTGCTGATATTCTGAGTACCAGTAGAGTTCCCACTCCTTATTCCTCTGATTCTGGACTAGGAAGACCAAACTCATTACCTGGTGAAGGGCCAAGTCAAAACTCTTCATCGAGTGGTTGCTTGTCTAGGAGTGAAGATGCTGGACCATTATATTCATATTCTGGTTCTATAGGTGATGCTGGTGTTGGTTCTTCCGGGTTATCCAACAAAGCTACTCACTCCAATCTACTGGATAAGGAAAATCATGGAGGTCATGCTGTTGCTGATGGTATTCGGATTAATGGTAATGCTCCTTACAATCAGAATGGACCAGAAGATTCTAATAATCTTTTCGCAGATCTCAATCCACTTCAGAACAAGGGTAAAAATTTTGTACATTCTAAACCTGGAGATAATAAGACCGATGGCCTGAGAAATGATATTGTACCTGGTCGACCCCCTGCACCATTGATGTGGAAGAGCCGATATGCAAACAATGAGGTACCCAGGAACAAGGAATATGATTATATGGATGGCCTTTTTCCGAGAATTAACCGCGAACCAAATAACTACAATCAAACATCCACAGCATCCACCAGCTCCAATGTTTCCCGGAACGCATATGCTCAGAATTCTAAGCCATCTGTAAATTCCAATCAAGCCAGTAGGGGTAGTGAGCCAAGAAATTTGTATACTGGTTCCAGTTCAGCAGTGGCATCTGGTGTTAGACAATATCAAAATCGACCCATAGGCCAGCCAGTAGACTTGGGTTTTGAAGCTGAAAATCAAAGAGATGCTAGTAATTGGCAAAACAGCGCCATATCGAAGGATGAGGAAGATGGTGAAAATAGTGCTCTGGATCCAAGGAAGATGACAAGTGACATGTTTTTTGGCAGCAATTTGAAACTAAAGGATCTGGAAAGTCCTAGCTCATCACTTGAGTCGAGCATGAGCAACAGGGTGGAGCATGGTTTGGATGATGTAGATGTTGTGGAATGTGAGATTCCTTGGGAAGATTTGGTCATTGGCGGGAGAATCGGACTAGGTAAGGAACCTCAACAATCGTTTATATTTCTTTATTGGACTTTTATCTTTGTGGTTGGAGAATCGATTATAAGCTGGTTGGTGCTATGTGCAATGTGCTATGTACATAATCAGTCATATGGTGTTTGCTTAAACGGTCACTGGTGATAGATGTGTACAGTGGTGAGTGCCAGATGTGGGGGAGAGAGAAAAGAGTCTGTTTTCCATGTAATCTTTGTCTAGCTCATTCATGGTGTTCTAGCTCTTCTTGTCTAACAATTTGGGCCTTTGGTTGTGCTGGCTTATGTCATGGGTAAGACTTGGAAGAATTGATCTTGGAATAACCATGGCTCTTGCCCCCTCTTTTTCCCCTTGAATATGAGATTTGTTTTTCTCTACCTGTTGTTGTGTGACACGGAAGACATCACTATAATTCTTCCTTATGGATGTATATTGGTGAGGCCAAGGTGTTGGTCACATATATTTCAATCTGTGAGCTTTTTATCTCTCTTTAATAGTGTCTTGTTTCGCATAGGTTCATATGGTGAGGTTTACCAAGCTGATTGGAATGGCACGGTGAGTCTGGTTTTCCCTTTTTTCTGCATATCCTTGTAAACATTATTAACTTAAATAGTCAGGAAAAGTAATGTATGAATGAATGTTTGCGCTGCTGCCTCTCTTATATTTTAGTATTCCAGCTTACCATTGATAATTTAATATCTTGTGTCAGTTATGGAATTGTTGATTTCTTAACTGTATACATAATAGTCATGTTTCCTGCTCAAGAGTAGATGAACAGGGATGCGGTTCGCTTTGAGTTCCTTCATCTCCTGTCATTTGATATCTTACATCAGCTCTTAATTGTTTGCATAATCTTCATGTTCATCAGTCATGGAATCCATGTGAATTGAATGTAATTAGTAACTTTATAATGGCAACTGCAGTACATGTGTTATTATTGCTATCATTCTCTCTTTACTCCTATTTGATATTTTAAGCCGCTGCTTTGGGTAGAGATTTGGTGCATTATGTACTCTTATTAAGGAACATGAGGATATGTTTGATTCTTTGATCTTTTGGGTGTTTGTTTGTGGCTCAAATAACAGGAGGTTGCTGTCAAGAAGTTCCTAGATCAGGGTTTCTCCGGAGCAGCTTTGGCAGAATTTAAAAGAGAAGTAAGCAATACAATAGTTTCTAAACTGACAACTAATGGACAGATTAGTACAGAATTTAAGCAAAGAACTAACTTGCATCCATCATGTATTTAGTGATTAAGTAGTGGTCACCTTGGATAGTTGTTTACTTTGTTTTGACTAGATAACTGCTTGCTATGCAATTCTCTTGCATATTAACGCTTTCATATTCTTTCAAGGACATATATACATCAATACAAGAGTGTATCAATGAAGTTGTTATTCTTAATCTGACTTTAGAGTTACTGACCTTAGATTTCTGATTTTTGGACTGTAATTTAAGGTGCGGATAATGCGCAGATTGCGTCATCCAAATGTGGTTCTTTTCATGGGTGCTGTTACTCGTCCTCCAAATCTCTCCATAATTACTGAATTTCTCCCCAGGTGTGCCTCCTCTCGCATACCAATGTCTAAGATATTTGGTTGCATTTTTATTTATCATTTTGATGCTCCTGTGATGAAACCTTGTTTGTGCATTCTTCATTGTCTCCATTGACTTGGGTCTTGTTGATGGTTTCTAGGGGAAGCTTATACCGAATTCTCCACCGTCCTCAGTGTCAGATTGATGAGAGGCGCAGAATCAAAATGGCTCTTGATGTGGTATAGTACGCTGTCACCTTTGATTCTCCAGTATATAATTGACACTTTATATGTCTTGATTCCTAGTTCTTGCCGGATGATGTAGGCAAGAGGTATGAACTGCTTGCATAGCAGCTCACCAACAATTGTTCACAGGGATTTGAAGTCCCCTAATCTGTTGGTGGATAAAAACTGGAATGTTAAGGTAAATAGTGAATTTTTCTTCTTATGTTCCCTAATCACAATTCTCATTGATCCACTAAGTGAAGGTTCTGGGTTTTCATGTGGCCATGAATTTTGTGGGGTTTGCTTCTTCTGGGTGGTTAAGGTGTTCCAATGTCCTACATGGTTTGTGTTTTAGCAACTTAAATTAAAATTATTCTTGAGGTTTTACTTTCTGATATTTTGTAGTCTTTTGATGTCTGTGCAGGTTTGTGATTTTGGTTTATCACGCTTGAAGCACAACACATTTTTGTCATCCAAATCAACAGCCGGAACGGTGAGATGAATGTGCCCCTTATATATATTGCTAATGAGCTTCATCTTACACTTGTTACTGATTACTTGTATGTGATGTGTTGTTAGCCTGAATGGATGGCACCTGAAGTACTTCGCAACGAGCCTCGAATGAGAAGTGAGTTGATTATCTTTTTTTCATACTTCAATCTCATGTCTTTTAAAATACATTCATTTAGGTCTTTAACCCTACATTTCTAATGCTTTTAAGGGTCTGGGTCTTTGAGCTCAAAAGGAGCACACTAAACTGCATTGCGTAGAGCTTTTAAATGCCTGAAACTTCGTAAAGCAAAATATTCAGTTTGGATTACCTTGGTGATAATAGGTGCATCAAACATATATAACTACCTACAGGATTCGGTTGTCTTTTGTGTCAGCATAATTTAGCCCTTATTATTTGTGAGCATTAATAGCTGGCCGCTCGGTACCTGCAGGTGTGATGTATATAGTTTTGGAGTGATTCTATGGGAGCTTGCAACGATGAGAATCCCTTGGAGTGGGATGAATCCGATGCAAGTTGTGGGTGCAGTTGGCTTCCAGAACCGTCGACTTGAAATACCGAAAGAACTAGATCCCTTAGTTTCGAGAATCATTTGGGAATGTTGGCAGACGTAAGTAGACGGCTTAAGACCTATTGAAGCACATTCTATACTTAGACATATGCGATCCCTGGCAAAATAATTAATCATTCTTGCTTGTTGGCTGGCTGGGTCTGTTTTGTCATCTTCTTTATGGTATGCAGGGATCCGAATCTGAGGCCGTCATTTTCACAGCTTACAGTAGCTCTAAAGCCGCTGCAGCGGCTTGTTGCTCCTCTTCAGATGGACCAGCCAAGTTCAGGTTTGCAGCAGCAGGATGTACCAGTAAATTTCAATCCTTGAATGCGTCTCTCTAAATATCTCAATTGTGAAGAATCGGCTTTCTGTTTTTGCCCCGATGATTTGTTTTTGGAAGTGTACAAGCTAAATGAGAAAGCACATGATTGGAAAAAAAAGCAGAGAAAGAAGAATGCTTTTTGTGTAAGTAATCTCTTTTCATTGTGCTGCTACCCAAAAATCTTGTAGCCAGCAGCATGTTTCTTTGTACATCCATCATACTTGGTCATAAAATTGAATGTGTCCGTAAAGGATTACAAAGACGTTGTAATATACCATAATCAAAAACAGTATTCATACTCACAAACTATGGCGTTGGCTCCACGTCGGAACTTTGAAATCAAATGTACAGATATAAAATGTTGCTTGTATTTCGTAATTCGTAGGTTCCTTGGAGTTGTTTAATTGATCTGCTTGAATTCCATTGTGCTCTTTTTGTTCTTTTGAGGTCATATGTTCCTCAGACTAAACAGGACATCCTAGTATTCCATGGCTGTTGCACTCCTTGTAAGTTGAATTGGTCGGACCTTGACTCTGGCTTTGACCGGGTGGATAGGATCTGAATCAAATGGGTACTGAAAAAAAAAATTGGATGTACCGTTTTCGATTCGTCTTCATTGCACAATTGATGGAAACATTACAATCTGATCCAACATGTTACATTTTACGCCATGAAGAAACCAAGTGTAATACAAAATCAGTTACTTGTAAGGATTGAAATAAATACAAGAAAAGTCAGCTAAAATCGTGGTTCAATTGTTTCATATCGCTAAATACCGCCTACCAATTTAGCTTACGGTAGAAGGTTTTTCTGGTCGAACCGCTAGTAGATACGATATTTCAATCCTTAGTTACTTATTTCTCAACTCTGGATTGATACCATTCCTCTTGCTTGGTTGAGTTGATTTCGAGCGAGTTTGAAAACTAAGTGGTGGGTAGTTATTTATGATTTTTTTTTTTTGAAAATCAACACCTGTTTTATTTAATCATCAATGTTTAGACAAGCTAGTTCCTCATTAAGGAGAGCAACTAGGATAATTGGTGGCCTATCCACCCAACACTCAATTTCCTCCCAATTACAAGCAATATGGGTCATTTCATGTGCCACTCTATTTTGCTTCCTAGGAATATGGATCCATTCTATGTGTTGGAAGGCCTGGCCCATCTCCTTGATCTCTTTTGGTATCTTGCCCACTTCAACTTGGGAAACCACCTGGCCTGTAATGAGACGTTCCACCTGCAGACAGTCGGTCTGGATTGCGATTGAGTGTAGGTGAAACCGATGAGCCATCTCCATCCCGAACTTCACCGCCATCACCTCTGCTTCCATCGCCTCCCACTGCCTCCGCGTCCTCTTCACCGCCGCCGCCACAAAACCGCCATCCCTCTTCCTAATTACAGCTCCCAGTCCCTTCCTTGTCCCGCCAGGCATCCCGCATCCACCGAGATCGTAAAGCCAGTTATTTATGATTTGATAGTAAAGGGAAATGGCATTAAAAAAATATCATAGAAGCACTTAAAGTGCTATTATTTATTTTTCATATGATATCAATTTTGATGGATAAAAACATGCCAATGCTTTCTTTTATGACAGATGGTGATGTTAGTGTTGAACTGTTGATGCTAGTTTATGCTTTACATAACAGTCGTGTGGCTTGGTACGTATGAATAGTGGCGAATGCAGGATTTCAAACTACCCCTGCCCTCTTTTCATATTATAATTATATAAATATTTAATAAGTATAAATAATTAATAATATTTAAATAAATTTTATATATAAAAAATAACGACTACTACAATCGGTATTTTCATAAACAATAATACGAGTTTTCATATTATGAAGAAACACAAAATATTCCATTGTTTACACTCTTAGGTAAGTCCTTTTTAATGGATCTCACTAAACAATCATTAGCAAACTGGTCGTGAATTCGACTTCGAAGTTCGCACGTGATATAGCTCAAAGTTGGAAAATATTTTATCTGCACTTGCCGTCAAAACTAGTGGAATCGGCGTTGCCCATGGAGTGCTTCAAGATTGATGGGCAAATTATTGAATAGGCATATGGACAAAAGAGATTTTTTCCAATTGAGATTTCGTCTATAGTATAATAAATCAATTTAATGTTAATTTATGATCAAGTAATGAATTGTGATATAATGACAAAATACGACGTACTGGGTGTTGTATTCCATCCTTTGTATAAACATATATGGACTATTTTTGTTCCTCCCAAAATTTACCCCTGTCTCGGGACAATGCCCAATAGGGCTGCCTCCGCCTATGCGTATGACATTGACAATGGTATGTATTTGGACAGGGTTGGACTTATTATCAGGCTTTGTCTACCTTATGGGTTGAATATGATCTTTTATTTGCTTCTTTGTTGTCCGTTGTGGCCTCTGAGGAAGTTCTGAAGGAGAGATCCTGTGCTCGTCTTATGCAATTTCTTATGAAATTGCGTCGAGCATTTGAAGCTATTCGCGCTTCTTTGCTGCATCACTAGGTTGGGAGTTGGGACCATTGATGAAGCTCTTGGTGAACTCATTCGCGAAGAGACTCGACTTTGGAGTCAAACGCAGCTTGATCAGTCGAGGTTTGGTGATTATGCATTTGCTATCAGCCGCGGGGGGCGGGGAAACCAATTTTTCAGCAAGGAGATACAAGTCATCCGACTTGTCATTTTTGTCAGGAGGTTGACCATATTCAACCCAATTGCAAGCGTCACAATGAATGTATATATTGCAAGCGCTTGGGACACATAATTCTGTAATGTAAGTCTCTTGCTCGCAAAGGCAAGTCTGGTGATTATTCTTCATTAGGGAGTTCTCGTCCTGCTGGTGGCTGACGCGCAACTAGTGACGGCCGAGGCGCTAGTGGCTCGAGTTATGGGGTGGAGGTCACTCCTTCTGGTTTCGCTGGTGTCGCATCTGGTACGGCTCTTACTACCGAGGTTGTTCATTGTTTGGTTGCTGAAGTTCTACAAGAGACTTTACACGTTGCTTTGACGACTGCCTTTGCTATGGGCGGCTCTTCAGGTAATCCTCGATGGTTATTTGACTCCGCTGCATTTAACCATATAACTAGTAATCTCTCTGCTTTTTCGTCCTTATAATCAAGCTCTGTGTTGTTTCTACAAGTTGCCAATGGGGCACGTCTCCCCCTTCATGGTATTGATACTACTACTACAAGCCGGGTGAAACTGTAGGATACTTTATTTATTCCTCGGCTAGTTCCTAGCTTAGTATCGATGGGTCAATTGACTGAAGCAGGCTGTGAAGTTAAGTTTACTAAAGTCGGGTGTGTTGTGCAGGATCCGACGACAGGGAGGGTGATAAGGAGGGGTAAGAAGGTTGGTCGTGTGTTCATTCTTGATGACTGTCATTTGGAGATGCCGTTACCTCATGGGACGCCGACATAAAGAACTGTCGTGGCCAGCTCTTCTTTGTTGCATAGTTGAGTTAATAAATCTCCCCATTTTGAGACTATAGTTGATGATTTGGTTTCTACCGTAAAGCCTCATGGCTCTTTGAAAATTTTGAAACAGACTACTATGTGGGATTTGTGGCATTGTCACCTTGGTCACCCTCACAAGACCAGATTGTTGGATATGTTTTGCAGTAATTTACTTCCTGGAAAGCTGGATTCTCACTTGGTTTCTTGTCATTCCTGCATCAGTTGTATTGAAGCTAAAACTTCACAGTTGTCTTTCTCTTCTAATGAGACTGTTTATGAGGAACATTTTGAGCTTGTTCATACTGATCTCTGGGGTCCTTCCCCTGTCCCCCGTCTCGCACGGGATATCGCTACTTTGCTTTCTTCATCGATCACGCCACTCGGTTTTCCTGGATTTATTTTCTTCGCAGAAAATCTGAGTTGATCACTCATGCTCGACACTTTGTTCAGATGGTGTTGACTCAGTTTGGTAAAAAGGTGAAGGTTATTCGGTCCAATCCTAGTGGGGAATTCAGTTCCCACCCTTTGCTTGAGTTTTATGATTCTCACGGGATTTTGCCTCAATAGTCTTGCCCAGGTGTCTCCCAACAGAATGGGTTAGTCGAACGCAAGCATCGACATGTCTTAGAACTTACATGTGCCCTACTATTTCATTCTCGTATTCCACATGGTTTTTTGGTTGGAACGGTTAGTACAGTTTTGTACCTGATTAATAGACAAATTACTCCTGTCCTTGGGTAGTCGTCTCCTTTTCAGCGTCTCTATTCTAAACTTCCCGACTATTTGCGGCTCCTGGTGTTTGCTGTCTCTACTTTGTGTTGCATCATAAGAAAACATGTGACAAGTTATCTCCCAAGACAGCTCGTTGTGTGTTTATTAGATATAATAGTCAACACAAGGGGTATTTGTGTTATGACGATCCAGTCGCTCGCCGCATGCATATTTCATGTCATGTCATTTTCCTTGAGCAAATTATGTATTTCCCCTCATCCGATCATCGGGATCACAGAGACATGGATTTTCTGCAGTCGTTACCATCGTTTGTTCAGGCTCTTGCTGTTAGGGATGAGTTGGCGTGTTGAAACTCGTCAATCCCTCTCATTATTCAGCACAGGTGGCCCATCTACGGGTTCGGTGGAATTGGATGGCTCTTCTTCGCATACAGGTTTGGAGGAATTCAATGGCTCTTCCTCGCCTTTATTAGACTCGCATGTGCACTCGTCTTCGTCCGAATCAGCTCCACAAAACTCAGTTTTGCCTCATTCTCCCAACCATGGTACTTCGTCTGGTGAGTCATCATCATCATTTACTAGCTCTTCTTCGACTAGTGGTTCTGCTGGTGGTTCGGATGGTGCTTTGGACACACCACCTCCTTTTCCTGAACTACGCAGGTCTTCGCGAGCTACAATGGGACAGCCACTGAAAAGATTAAGGGATTATGTGGGGTTTTCAGCAGAGTCGATACCCATTCCAAGTCATTACCAATTTGCTAAGGGTCATATAAACTGGGAATCTGCAATGAAGGAAGATATGCGCGCTCTTGAAGAAAATGACACATGGGAATTGGTTCCACGAGTTCTTGGAAGTTCAGTCATCGGTTGTCGTTGGGTTTACAATGTGAAGATGAAGCTAGATGGGTCTTTGGAACAGTATAAAGCAAAGCTTATTGCTCATGGGTTTTGACATGAGTATGGTATAGACTATGATGAGACGTTTGCACCTGTTGCAAAGATGCAAACAGTATGGAGTGTTCTTGCTGCCGCAACTATGAAAAAGGGGCAAATTATTCAGTTTGATGTGAAGAATGCTTTCCTCCATGGAGATTTGAAAGAAACGATTTACATGGAGTGTCCAGAAGGCTATGAAAAGGGAGCACCATGTATGGTTTGTAAA